CTGTGAGAGAGGTTGCTCCTGTGAGCCTTGATGCTCATCAAGGACGGTGGAGGGTAGCAGGGCTGCCCCAGGACGCCTGGGCAGGTCACGCTCAAAGGACACCAGTACTCAGATTGCACCTTCCCTCCCACTGGTGGAAGCTCAGGGCTGCTGTCCTTCAGTCACAGGATCAGGCCAGAGCCTTTATCCCAGTTCTCACATATCAGACACCTCTCTGCCCACACCCGGGGGCACTCAGCTGGGGGCAGTGTGGGGGATGTTACCCCTGAAACCTGTAGCTCCTGAGGCAATGACCCAGCACTGTTCCCCCTACCCTGGGGAAGGGAGAGGCTTTTCATTTTGCCTTTATTAATAATTTTTGAAGCAATACGTCATTGCTTTAGCAGCAGACCCACCTCCCTTCCTGCTGCCTCTGCCACACATGGGGCAAAGATCTGCTCCATTCATCAGCTGAAGATTTATGAGGTGCAAAGGGCTCCGGTTACACCTCTGCACCCAGCCTCCTCTCAGAGACTAGGTGAATGAGACGCTGCTGGTTCCTCCCATACCAGAAGCAAAACAAGCCCAGAGGAAAGTAAAGCCATGATTTCACCAAACTCAGCTCCTTAAGTCTCTACCAGAACATGAAATCTTCTGCCATGAGACCCCTTGTGTCCTGCAGAAGCCGGGGGAGCCCTTGCTGCCCAGAAAGGCTGAGTCTGCGCCCCACCAGCCCCTCTGCACAGCCCAGCTTTGCTCATGTGAGACGCTCCAGAAATAGAAAAGGGATCGAAGGTTTTGGCTACTCTGGATTCCTCAGGCCCCCAGGCCCTGCTGCCCCTGGCTGGCGCTGGGCTCTGCTCTCCCAATCTCCCCTATAAATTGCCCTTCTCCTGGCTGCCATTTTCCTGTCCCTCATGCACGACTTTCCTCTCACCTCAGCCATTTCAAGAGGCTGAGCAAGAGGATGGCCACGGGTGGAGGAGAATCACTCCTCTCCAAACCCAGGAGGGAGTGACGCACAGCTTGGAAGGAACTTGGCAGCAGCCCTGCAGTCAGGAGGCAGCGAAGGGACCTGTCAGCAGCCATCTGCATTGCCCAGGCAGGCTGGGGGGCAGGGAGCTGCCTCTCCCCCTCGC